ATGGGAAGAGTTGCCATAAAAGCAATAGATGAACCTGAGGAAGCAGAAGCAAAGAACACCAAGAACAAAAATCTACCATTCCTTAGATGACGAAGTATCAGTAAAAAAAAACTGAAGAAGCTAATGACTCAAAACTGTCATCATCAAAGACATTTACTAAACCACACGTTCATGACACTACTTGGACTTGGGTTATAGCAAATAAATGAGAACTAGGCACAACAAGGAGCTCTGGTAGCGTAGTGGTTACAAGTTGGGCTGCAAACCGCAAGGTCAGCAGTTCTAAACTATCAGCTGTTCCACGGAGAAAGATGAGGCCTTCTGCTCCTGGGAAACCCTGTTCAGGGTCAGTATGAGTCAGAATCGACTCCACTGCACCTAATCACCTTACACAACAAGATTAGCATTGCAAATTGTATCACATACTAACAGTTTAATGAGTAAACCAACCAAAAGCCACAAAACCCACTGCCATTGAGTCAATTCTGACTCATAAGGACATCACAATATTCACTTATTAGAAAAATCAAGAAAGGATTGCAGCAGGTCAAACACTTAAACCACTGTGCTACCACAGCTCCCTCAAGTTAATAAACCTTATAAATTCCTGATTTCCTCACCTAGGCACTTGAATTATGGTGTTGGTGAAGAATTACTGAAAGCACCATGGACTGCCAAAAGAACAAATAAATCTGTGTAGGAAAAAGTACAACCAAATACTCCTTAGAAGTGAGGATGACAAGACATCATCTCTTATCCTTTGAACATGGGAGGAAGGGCCAGTCTCTAGGAAAAGACAGCATGTTTAGTAAACTGGAGGGTCAGTGAAAAGAAGAATGACCCCCAACAAGATGGACAGGCACAGTGGCAGCAACAATGGGCTCAAGCATAACAACTGTGAGGACGGTACAGGACCAGGCTGTGTTTTGTTCTGTTGTACTATTAAGTCAGAACCCACTTGACAGCCCCTAACAAACAACAAGCTTAGTGCAGTAGGCCTTTAGAACTTATGCATCTCACTAGAATATCTACACAATCAATAATAATTTGACTGCCATCATGTAGCTGCAACAATGGTCTCCCAGTAACATCCAGAAAAACTGACATAATCACTTTAACTTGACATGCAGATCTAATTTTACGTCCAAAGTAAGCAGACAAGGAAGGAAAAAATCATGAATGCATCATTTATATTAAGTGTCCCTTAGGCAGACTATTATGTGATCATTTTTATCTAGGAATGTTTTTGCAGTCTAAAAGTGACTGTCTTGAGTCAACAGTAAGGAAATGAATGGCCATACATGTGTTCACGTATTCTCAATGGACAAGAGAGAATAATGGCAAATATTTACTGCACTCACTTCATGCTAGGCGTATTTAATCCTCACCCGAAAAGGGGAATACCTGGAGGACACAATGGTTAATTGCATGACTACTAACTGAAATGCTGGCAGTTCAAACCCACCCAGAAGCGCCTCTGAAAACAGGCCCCATGATCTGCTTCTGAAAAGTCACAGCCTTGAAAATTGTATAGAGCACAGTTCTACTCTGCACCAAAGGGTAGCCATAAATCAAAATCGACTCCACTGCAACCAATAACCACCACCCATGAGGTAGGTCCTTATGAAGAACCCTAGTTGCATACGGAGTCCTGGTGTAGCACTAGACTGCAAGGTTGGTTTGGACTGCAAAGTCGGCAGTTCAAGCTCATCAGTTGCTCCTTGGAAACCCTATACAGGGTCACTATGAGTCAGAATTGACTCGATGGCACTTTAACAAAAAAACAGAAAGTTATATACAGTTAGATTTTAATGTTTTTAACTGGTTGAGATACAAATCTCCAGTCTTTGGAGATAAATTATGTTTTCACAATTATATAATTCTATTATTGCTTTTTAAAAAAGGTATTAAAATCCATTTTATCACTATAATAAAACTTTCATATTTACTAAAAATAATTTTCATTACATTTATTTTAAAAACAGGAGTTTTTTTAAAATTCTGAAAATCTGTTAACTGTTTTTAAACAATTAACTTTTAGGACTAAAAAGCTATAAAAGCAAGAGTTCATTTAGGTCCTATTTTAAGCTAGATGACAGTTTATCTCTTTCTTCCAATAAGAGCGCTGATGGCCCGGTGGATTAAGCGCTAACCAAAGGACAGTGGTTCAAACCCAGCAGTCACTCCAAGGTAAAGTAATGCAGCAGTCGGCTTCCCTAAAGATTTATAGCCTTGGAAACCCTACTCTGTGGTATGAGTCAGACTGGACAGCAACAACTTTTCACTGGGTTTCCATTAACAATGCTACATGTTGCTTCCAATCTTACAATTAAAGTTCATCCAACTTTGCATCATTTCATATAGAAAACCAGTCACTCAACTCAAATGCTCCCATCCTTGTTGTTGAGTGCCATCAAGTAGGTTCCAACTCATAGCAGTTCTGCATAAGGTTTCCAAGGAGGAGCTGGTGGATTGGAACTGCGGACCTCGTAGTTCGCAGTAAGTACTGAGTCCACAATGCCACACAAGGCTCCATCCTTATAAGGAAACAATATTACTAGCCAAAATCCAGGTACAGTTGGCACTAGAATGCATTGGAAATAATGCGAATGTGAATACAGTAGAAAAAAAACTCTATAGAGTCCAGTGATCTGCACATCAATTCTGGCTCTGCCACTAACAAGGCAGTAATTTAGTCCCTTCAGCTGTTCTGGCCCTTGGTTTCCTGATCTGAAAAAGAATCATCTCATGTTCTACTCTTTCAGCTCTAAAGAAATGTGACTCATACATATACATTTTTTCCCCAAGCTTCCCATTCTAATTCTGCTTAATTACTACTATTATTTCATAGCCACTAAGTGTATATTTTTCCTTAGTTCTGCAAAAGGAGAAAACAGTTAAACAAAGTTGATCCGGGAGGGAGGGGAAGGTGGGCAAGAATCTTCTCGACCATTAGTTTGCTACAGATGATTCTCAAGGTGAAAAATGCAGAAGCTATTATAATGTTAAAAGGTATTAGGTTTCAATATTTCAGACTGCTGTTTGGTGTGCCAGTACATTTTCCCTAAGGACAAATAGTAAAATCCAAGGACAATAGGGCACAAAAATATAATTATGCATTAGTTATTTAAGAACTAAGGAGGTGTCGACTGAAAATATTAACACCTTTTTGCAATAATGTTTTCTGATTGATAATTAAAGAGAAAAATAAGATAATTTAAAAAATATGTTCTCTAACAAAACACGCTTTCATTTTGTAAATGTGAAGAAAGTACAAACGTAAATAATTATTAAGATATCACACATGTGGTTAGAAAACAGTAAAAGGCTTAAAGATCTAGCTATGCAATTGTTAGCTTGCTTGCTCTTCTGAGTGATGCGAAGAACCTCTGTGGCCTGCCAGTAATCCTAGTGTGCATTTTCTAAAATGCACATTCTCAAAAGAGTATTATGTAAATGCAAGATTATTCAAATTAACCACCTAACAACAATAAGATTCCCAACTGCTAGACAACTCAAACTGATTTTAATATTGCTTTCTAGAACTGTTAGCTTACTAACATCTCCTTTGTAGTTCAAAACTTTAAAAAATACTTTCAAAGTTCATCGAATTTCTAGTTCTATTTTGCATGACCTTGTAAAGAAACTATCAGAAGCAAGGGAAAGAAAGCATGTGAATTACTTATTAATCTTCTAGAATGAAAACTGAACAGCACAGTCAGTCTGAATGTCAAATTGGGAAGTCAGCCACCACTTAATAGATGGGGAGGCTGCCACAAGAATTTCAAGGTACAGCTATGAGAATTCTCAGTAAGCGTACCATCAAACACATACATACATTTATAAAGGATAACCGAGTCAAGCAACCAACCAGTCACCTCTCTGTTGCAACGCCAAAAGAAAATGTCAAAAATCACTTTGTGACTTGGATCCTCCAGTTTTCTAAAAGTTCAGAACCAAACCAAGATGAGTACTTAAAACTGCTTCTTAGCATCCGTCTTTCAATGCAACTCCCTCTCCAAATAGTCACTTCGCTTCTGCTACTTGAATGCCCAAACCGAAGTAGCAAAGAATCTTTAGGAGCCCACGTATCTGCAGAGGGTCTGCCCCGCACCCGCCTCCGCATCCTTTTTTACTTCAGGTTAAACCGACGTAGATGCTCCAGTCGCTTCCCCATGTAACGCTCCCCACTTTCCTCCCTCACACCCCAGATCTCTTATGCTCGACCTTGAGGACCCCCAAATGGAATCCAAAGTAACTTGGCTGGTGTCCTCGTGCCTGCAGCTCCCTTAACTGCCCCCACGAGGGCTCCGGTGGCTTCCCACCCACCCACCACGACCCCGATCACAAACGTTCTCCTACTACCCTGGGACGACCCTAAAGTGTTTTACGTTCTCCCAACCAGAAAAATACTGAAAGCCTACTAAGTGCAAGGACGCAAGGCGCGGAGGGCACCGGGCTCGGGGCCCGGGTTCGCTGTCCTCTTCCCAGCCGGCCCATCCCGGCCCAAGGGCCGGCGCTGTCTCCACCCGGGGTGTGGAGGCACCGGCCAGAGGCGGACTGCGCCGGGCGTGGGCACCCGGGGGACAGAGGCGGCCGCTAACCGCGTCGCGGGGGCCGCGAAAGAGACACTGGAGCGGTCCCGAGTCGCAGAGACACTCACCGGTCGGGGCGCGCGAGGCGGCCTCATCCAGGAGCACCTGCGGCCAGGCAGGACGGGCCCGGACGGCGCAGTCACCGAGAGAGCAAGTCCGCCCGCCTGCCTGCTGGCCCCGTCCAGTCCCCTTCAACTGCCAAGCGAGCGAAGTCCTGCTTCCTCCGGACGGAGCCCGGGGACCCCAGCTCCGCCGGATGCCCCCGCCAGGCCCCCACCCCCTTCCCCGGCCACCTCCCCCTCTACACCCTTTTCCCCTCCCCCTCCCCCCAACCCCCACCGGAATGGAAAATACCTCCCGGGGCGGGGGGCGGGCGGGGGCACGCCTCTCTGAAGGGCAGCCTACCGTGACCAATAGCAGGCGGGGCCTTGAAGGGGCGGGATTCTTATCGGCCAATCCGGAGGCGTATAGGTGAAGGCCGAAGGAGGGGGGCAGGGAGCGATAGGGGGGCGGCCCGGGAGTCCGAGAGGTCCAGCAGCTCGGGTGCTCGCAGTACGCGGCTGCCATTTTGGAGTCGGGCAGCTGCGACGGCTGCCGGTTCCGGACGGGGAAAGGGAGGAGCCAGTTAGGTGAGAGAGAGGCTGTCACGTGGGTTCGGGAGGAGGAGGGGAAAATGGGCTGTGGGACCGAGGGGAGGGGTCAACGCGGCGAGTCACGCGGCTGAGGAAGGTCACGTGGTAGGGGAGGGACCTTCGGTGGGCTAGCCGGGTGGGAGGTCAATCTAAGGTGGGAGAAAAGGCAAAGCTTTGTCCTAGTTTTAAACCCTGTCATAGAAAAGGAAAGGAAAATGCTGAATGGAGGGCGGGAGTTCAGGGTAGGAAAATGTGAATGAGTCTCCCGAGCTCCAAATTCCAAGATCCACGGGGAGTCGAGTTCCTGATTTAAACCAAGTGACTCTACCTACAGCACACGGCCACCACGGCCATCCCATACCCTGTCCCAACTGTTAAAAAAATAAATCTAATGGAGAAGTTCTGCATTTTCCTTTTTGCCCGCACTTTTTATGGAAGAACTTTCTCCTAGAAATGACTGAAGGGGTAAAGAGAAGCAGCACAGGAGGGATTGTGACGCCTGCAGGACGTCAGATTCTTCCTGTCCGGCCTTTTAGAAACCTTGTCATTCACAAACAACTGCCTCTTCTTAAATATTAGACATACCCTTGATCAAACAACAAAAAAATTGCTTGAGGTACTGTTTAAGCTCTCGGCCTTGTTTCAGTTCATAGCTTAAGTACAGACTAAAAGTATTCTTCCCAAAGTCTACTGAAAATGCCCTCGTTATGGCTACCAGTGACCTCCATATGACCAAGTTCATAGTTCACGCTTTAGTCCTCTTCATCTCTGCAGCCATAGATTCTGAGCACCACGTACTTGAAGCGTTTTCTCCTGCCCAGTGTGCCCCCGTCCCTGTTTTCCTGACACCATAAATTGGATTGTCTTTCTCTTTAGTTGACTTTTCTGACTATTTTCTTTTGATTTGGGGTCTGATTCTCCATCTTCTCAGTAAATACATGGTCGTTCTGCATAGTAGGTGAGCTACCCATTAGCTTTATACTGTTGAGTGTACATTTAATGAAGCCCATATCTGCCTAGGAGAATGTCAGTTGGACATCTCCCCTGAACCTCAATATGACAGATGGAAATCAGAATTCATATACCCTCAAAAAACTTAAATTGTCACATGTATGGATTCTAGCTCATAGTGACCCTATTATGGGACAGGGTAGAACTGCCCTAGAGTCCTGGTGTCGCACTGTAGGATAATAAGTACAGGACTGAAAGATTGGTTTGGACGGAACTCCATTCCTGGCCTCCTTCTCAGATTATTTCTCTCTTGCAAAATGAAACATGGAGTGCTGCTGTAGTGCTGTAGGATAAGCACTAGGCTGCTACCCACAAGGTCAGTGGTTCCAACTGACCAGCCTTTCCTCAGAAACCCTGTACAGGGTCCCTATGAATGGAAACAGACTCTATGGCACTTAACAACAAAAAATTTGAAAAATACTGCATGCTGTGCCCATAGCAATCTCCCTTACATAGGATCAGGGTCATGATTAAGAGTGGTTGGTATATGGGATTAAGGTCAGTGAACTTCATTTGAGTATAGTGGCAACGATATCACCAGGCAAGAATCAGAATTATGAACAAGATCCCCTTTTTGGTCCTTTGCAGGCCTGGGATTCCATGCTGCTGTGCCCCGTGTGTGAAAGTAGCTGCTTCATAAGTAACTACTTTACTTGCAGCTGCATATCTATGGGGGAAAAAAGCATCTATGGCACTTAGTTTTAAATTACTGAATGATTCACAACTGGCGATAGAAACTGCAGTGGTGAATAGATAACTGCTCACTGACGCCCCTTTCACGTGGCACCCAGGGCACGAGCCATACTTGCCATGCCTTAGATACACCTGTTTACTTGACAGTGCTAGGTACATGTGGGCAGTTTAAAATTGTGCTTTGTTTCCAACGATGAGTTTTGCACCCTGAGAACTCTGGGTGAATTGCCAGGATGAAACGTACAGGAGAAGGTAACCATTGCCATTCCACTGTGTATCTCTAGGCCCTTGAGTATTTCACCCAACAGGGAATGAGATGTTGCCAGTTTTATCTAAATCCAAATCCTGGCAAAGGGCAGCACATGATTTTGAAGTATTACTATGGTTTTTATCACTATTAGGCAGCCAGCTGCCCAACCTAGGAAACCACAATAGTAAAACACTGAGAACTTAGGCACCTCTCCCAGCTGGCATGAATCGATTCCAGGTGTATCAGCACATAGACATTAGCATCACACTCTCAGGATGAGACCTTCTGTCCTTTTTTTAAAATAATCAGTTTTTTAACAGATGGAAAAAGGAAAGGTAAAAAAAAGCTTTTACATTTCTCTAGAATGCTCTCTTCTCATCTTAGTATTTATTGCATGAATCTTTTTCAGTCTTACTGTTGACCTACCAGCTTTCTAAACATCATGGTACAGAGTCTCCTAAGGACAGATATGGTGTTGTATTTGTTAGGGTGGGAGTACAGAGCACAGGAACAAATGCTTTTTACCTTCAAGAAACTTAGAGCATACACGAAATAATTCAGAAAGCGTAGTCAGGGTTGACAAGAAATCTGCCATTTGTTGAACTATAGTCAGCATTTTCACATTGCTATCTGATTTATTTGGACCACAAGGTCAATTTGAACCACAAGGTTGGCTGTTCAAATCCACCATGTGCTCCTCGGAAACCCTATACAGAGTCACTATAAGTAAAAATCAATTTGACAACACTTAACAACATCATCTGACTTAATCCACATGACCCTTCCAGGTGGGTTTTATTATCCCCATTTTCAGGGTCATACTTAGTAAAATATAGTGGTGTATACTCATGGTGGATGCATCCACACTGTGTGGGAATATAGGTATCAGACTTCACCTCTTCCTCTCAAATTAAAAATGGCTTCTTGTACAAAGTAAGTTTTAAGCTTAGCTCTGAAAGGACAATTCAGAAGTGATGCTGAGGGAATGATGCCAAACGGAAGTCCAAATTGGCCATACGCCTAAGATCAATCAATAAGGAAAGATTTCTTGTTCAGCAATGAGTCATATTGTATTCTTCAAGTACCTTTATTGTCTGAGCTACTACAGATGGGTGAAGTAACCCATGTGGTATAATGGTGGATTGGGGAGGGAGTATGTCAGTATGCCTTTGAATGGAGGAGAACTCTTAAATGACTAAAATACTGGTACATCTAACACTGGCTTCTGAAACAAACTGAAACTATGGTAGCTTTTCTTGCTGCCAATCAGTTGTTTTTAACCAGAGCTTTGAACTGGTTTTTCCTGGTTCTGTCTTGGCCAATGAAGTGAAACCGAAATGGATCTGAATTTGCAGACTGTTGAAGGACCAAAACAATAACTGGGACAGGCAAAAGTGTGGGACAACTCCTTACTAGAAATGTAATCTCCCTCTTAGAAAACGAGAGCAGTGTGTGCATTGCACAGCAACCAAATCTATTGAATAGCAGAGTCATTAACAACAGTGCCCTGTTCAAAGATGGTGGCTGATCACACTGCTTTGAATGTGTGTCACTCTCCACAGTTCTAGCAATAATCCAGTCTTCTACCTCAGGCTCCTGAAAGAGTTGACTCTCCCATTCCATGGAGAGAGAAGACCAGAAGCAAGCAGATCAGAGATGGTCCAGACAAGAAATGTTGGTGGTCTGGATTGGACTTTGTCTGTTTGTTTTTAAGTGCCATCAAGTCAGTTCCAACCCATAGCGACCCTGTATAGGGTTTCCAAGGAGCAGCTGGTGAGCTTGAACCACTGACCTTGTGGTTCAAACTGACTTTGCAGTCCAGTGCATTAACCCACAATGCCACACCAGGACTCCTGGATTAGAATGGTAATGCTGAAAATGGTAAAGTCATAGGTTAAGGGATACATTTTGCAGGTAAACCTGAGTCATCATACTAATGGGTTTAATGGGGCAAACGAGGGAAAGGCATGAAGGATGACTCCTAGGATTTTGGCCTAAGCAATTAGGTAGATGAAGGGTCAGTTTATTGAGAGCTAATTCTATGGCAGGCACTGTGCCAGGCTCTGAAAATGCAAAGCTCAATGAATAAGACATTGTCCTTACTCTCAAAAAACAACTCCCAACCTAGAGAGGTAAGACTGCCTCATGCCCAGGTAATTTCCGTAAAATGTTTTCCCCACAAAGATAGATCTCTCCACAGGTTACTTTAAGAGCATCAAAGAGGAGCCCCTAACCCAGTCAAATGGATTGACCCAGGAGTCCCACCCTCTTGAGAAGATCATTGGGGAACTTTACTGGCATTCTTAAGTATATGTGCAATAATCTACATTCTAGGTAAAGCTTTAACTTAACTCTTTATGAATAAATAAAAGATAACAGTTGCAAGCTTTGTAGGATAAGCACAAGATTATGAACCACAAGGTTGCTGGTTCAAGCCCACAGCCACTCCATGGAAGAAAGATGACGGTTTCTGCTCTCAAAAACAATTTAAAAGCCTCAGCAACCCTATATCCGGTGGCTGTTAGTCAGAACCAAGTTGATGGCACTTATCAACAATAGTTGCCAGCAGCATCTTCCAGGATCTCTGGTTTGTTATATCTTTATAAGAAAAGAAAATGGAACAACCACAATTAAAATAATGAAAACTGAAGAATGTAACAAATGCCACTGAACAACTGAAGAATGTAACAAATGCCACTGAACAACTTATATAGAAATTGTTGAATGGGAACCTAAACTGCTGGGTAAACCTTCACCAAAAACACAATAAAATACTTAAAAAGAAAGAAAAAACATAATAGTAAGAAAGAATGGTATGGGAAAATATCCATAATGATATTGGAAAGAGGCAAGGCTCAGCTAATGATAATGGAAATCTATATGGTCCAGACTTCTGCTAATCCCCTTCTCGAACCCTATCAACAGTATGGTTGAGGATGGGTTCCATTGTTTCATTTTAATAACTGTAACTATAACTTTGATAAA